TGGCGTAGTGTGTTACTGATGGTTATAGCCTTTGTTATGTTGGTCCCAGCTCTCTACAGGTCATTCACTAGGTCCCCCCATGTGGTTCTGGGATTTTTGCTCACTGTTCTTGTGATCATTTTGACCTCACGGGGTGAGATCTTGCGTGGAGCCCCAGATCGAGGGAGATTATCAGTGGTCTTGTATGTCTTCCATTTTCTAATTATTGCTCCCCCTTGTGTGTGTGTGTGTGTACGTACATATATGTGTGTGTGTGTATATGTGTATATATATGTGTGTGTGTGTGTGTATATGTGTATATATATGCATATGTATGTGTGTGTGTGTGTGTGTATGCATATGCATATACTATATATATGTATATATGTATATCTATGTATATATCTATCGCTATATACTGAATAATTTGACTTATTCAAATTAGGTGAAAATTTAAATGGGTAGGAGAAAACGGATAATATGGGGAGCCTTTCTTATTTTTATAAGAATTCAAGGCTGTGAACATCCTTTCTCTTCCTCCTATTCTACCCAGAACAACAATCCTATAAGTCAGGGGTCCCCAACCGTGGACCAGCACCAGACCACGGCATGACAGAAACCAGGCTGCACAAACAAGTAAAGCCCCATCTGCCGGATGGAAGCAGCACATGAAACCATGTCCCTTCTGGTTCGTGGAAAAACCTCTTTCCACATAACTGGTCCCTGGTGCTCAAAAGGTTTGGGAACGCTACTGTAAGGTGACTGGCTCAAAGTCATCCAGTCATTTTAATGACTAAAGTAGGACTAGAACTCAGAGTCTCCTAGTTCCTAGCCTGGTGCCTTAAGCACTACATCAAATCGGTCTAGTAGAAACAGAACTTTCTATTTCTAACTGAACAAACAATTCACTTGCAATCAATTCAACAAACATCTGTTTACAGTTGCTGTAACACTAGTCTCCAGATACACGAGAGTAAGTTGGTACCATTAACTAGCTGTGCTCAATATTTGCTAGATTAACTTTTTACAAGCATAATAGGATTTGTGGAAGGGGTAAAATATTTCTATGCTTTTGTCCAAAATTCAAAGTAGAAACTTTTGTTCAAATGTCCGGTGTTCAAAAGTAGCAGGACTCTCATTCATTCTGCCAATTAACTCAGCATTAAATTTCTTCTTTAAGCAAACCGTAATCATGTTAGAAAGTTACTCTTCAAATTCCATCTTGTTAAAAGACCTATCATCATCCTTTGATAGATCAGGCACTATCAAAAGTTTCTCCTACCTCCATGTCGTAATTTGAATGGAAGGGGATGAGAGGGATATGAGCATGATAGCCATAATTCAACATGGAGAATATTCACTTCCAGCAAACCACTGGTTTATGAAACATTATTAATATTGTTAAATGAGGGTCTAAGAAAGAAAGGGGAAAAAGATAAACATGTAAATATTCACCAAGTCCATCACAAACACATGGGCATAATCCAACCTTGTTAGTGTTGAACTGCAGAGGATCAACAAAAGGGTTAGTGCTGCTGAAGGCAGGAGGCTTAGTGAAAGGATTGGACTGCAGATAAGGCATAGGGACATTCTATAAAAAATAAAAACAGAAAGGAACCTGCTAATGAAAAGACACATATAATAGGGCACGTTCACACATGCGCAATCAGCATTTGCCCAAAAGCAAATGGTAGCTTAAATATAGTCCTTGACTTACAACCAAAATTGAATCCAACATTTCTGTTGCTAAGCAAGACTGCTGTTAAAGTGAATTTTGCTTCATTTTATGACTTTTCTTGCCACAGATGTTAAGTGAGTGACTGCCATTGTTAAATTAGTAACAACACGGCTGTTAATTGAATCTGGCTCCTCATTGACTTTGCTTGTCAGAAGGTCTGAAAAGATAATCACATGACCCTGGGACCCTGCAACCATCATAAATATGTTCCAGTTGCAAAGTGCCCAAATTTTGATCATGTGACCACAGGGACGCTGCAACAGGCGCAAGTGTGAAAAACAGTCGTAAGTCACTTTTGCAATGTCATTGTAACTTTGAACAATCACTAAATGTTTGTAAGTCAAGGACTACCTGTATGTGAAGCAATGATTATACTGCAAATACCACACAGAAATAGGGATTTCTCCTAAATGATAATAGTTTAATACTATTATTCATTAGGACATTTTTTAAGCTTTATGAATAAGTAAAAATATTTATGCTTAAATTTTCATAATAAAGCAAAAATGCTCCCCTATTGTTTAAGAAGATTATACCATACAGGATATGGCAAAGTCCTTGGATTTAACTAACTGGGTAAATATGTACATTTGTTATTTGCTCTGCCCTGACTTAGTAAAAGGAGGACCAAAATAGATTCATTAAAAGAATTTTAGCACATTTCTTCACTAGTGATAAAGACTGCATACTATAGGACAGCGATGGTGAAACTTTTTTGGCTCGCGTGCCATAGGTGGGGGGAGCGCAGGGGGGTAGTGTGCGGGCGTGCCGCACCCATAATGCAATGTGCAACACACACACCCCAGTGTGCATGCACGCACTACAGGCGCTCCCATTTTTTGGCATGCTGTTTTCGCCCTCCCCAGGCTCCAGAGGCTTGGAAACACACACACGGAAGCCCTCTAGAGGCTTCAGGGATCTTCAGGAAGGTTCCTTGAAGCCTCCGGAGCAGTCAAAATGACCCTCCGAGCAAACCGGAAGTCCATTCCTGAACTTCCGGTTTGCCCGTAGGGCCAGGTTTTTGCGCTCCAGAGGCTTCAGGGAAGCTCATGGAACCTCCGGAGGGCCTCTGGGGGGGCTCTTTTTGCCCTCCCCAGGCTCCTATAAACCCTCTAAAGCCTGGGGAGGGCAAAAATGGCTTTAAAAAGAGTGAACTCAGCTGGCCAGCGTGCGCATCCGTGCTGGCCAGCTAACAGGGCAGTGCCTCGCATGCCCTGACAAATGGCTCCACATGCCACCTGTGGCACGCATGCCATAGATTTGCCATCACTGCTATAGGAACAGAGATGAAGAAAGTAAACTCAACAAGGCTAGAACAAGAGCTGATTCTACGACTCCATATTGTTCAGCAAATAATGTATTTATAGCTTTAAAATATAGGAACTTAGACATTTTATTTGCCTCCTTTTTTGGGAAAAAAAGTAATAAAGCTGAACTAAACTTCTGCACATTTTTCTCTTTTAAGATTATTGTTTATACTTACTATGTTTGGAGCACTGTTTTAAGAGAAGATAGCGAACAGGAATTGAACCGGTAAGGTTCCCGCTGCCTCACAGCTGGCACACATTCCATTTACCTTCAGAAACCCTATCTGCTCTATATCTGGTGAGACTGTTGAGCCCTCAGCCTCTTAAATGGATTCAGCAATGCTTAATCTTTCATGATGCAGAAGACAACTAAAAAGTTCCAAAAAGAAATTTTTTGTAAGAAGTGTATTGCTACTGATACATAGCAAAAAGACAAGACAGAAAGACCTGCACATGGATTATAGAACAAACAAAAGTGAATTGAATTGAAATGGGCTGGTCACATAACAAGAAGAAGAACTGATGGCAGGTGGACCAAGGCAGTCACAGAATGGATCCCACTTGATAAAAAGCGAAAGAGACCGAAAACAAGATGGATTGACGGCATGAGCAAGTATTACAGGCCCAATTGGCAAAAGAAAACTCAGGACCGTATTGCTTGGAAATACATGGAAGAAGCCTTCATCCTGCAGTAGATAGACAATGGCTAAAATGATAACGATGATGACGATGATATGGATACAGCAAAGGTTTCTGAGAAAATTGATCCACTTTACCTCAAAGATTGAAATAAAATATTTCCCTTTATTTTCAAGGCACTGCTCTCTAGGGGGTGAAGGTCAGCTTTCAGATAACAGAACTGTTATTATACTTAAACAGGAAAAAAAGGCAGGAGCACTGGCCAGCAACCTTTCACTTTTCCCTAAGCTATACTCCAGTAAGAAAGAAATTGATCATGCTGCATTTGAATAGGCTATTGGCACTATGAGAAAGTAAATCATAATGTACACTACCTTGAGCTTCTGAACAAAGGATGAATATACTCTAAGAAATAAATTACATTGTTTTTAAAAAAATATGTTGATTGAATTTAACACAGAAATGGGGGATTAAAATGATCAGGGGGGAAAAAACTTGGCTATACAAAATATACTTATACTATATGCCAACAAAAGTGCATATAATCAAGGTGATGGTTTTCCCAGTTGTAATGTATGGCTGTGAAAATTGGACCATAAGAAAGGCTGAGTGCCAAAGAATTGAGGCCTTTGAATTTTGGTGCTGGAGAAGACTCCTGTGAGTCTCTTGGACTGCAAGGCAATCAAACCGCTCAATCCTAGAGGAAATCAACCCTGACTGCTCTTTAGAAGGCCAGATCCTGAAGATGAAACGCAAATACCTTGGCCATCTAATGAGAAAGAAGGACTCACTGGAGAAGAGCCTAATGCTGGGAATAATTGAGGGCAAAAGAAGAAGGGGACGACAGAGAATGAAGTGGCTGGATGGAGTCACCGAAGCAGTAGATGTGGACTCCAGAGGATTGTAAAGGACAGAAAGGCCTGGAGGAACGTTGTCCATGTGGTCGCGATGGGTTGGGCATGACTTCACAACTAACAACAATAACACACTTATACAGAAAAAGACAGACAGCATTACTTGCTGCTGCTTATATGGATATTAAGATCTGCAGCAAGTAGCAATAAGTCCTCAAACCACTTTTTGGGACTATCAAAATGTAGCTCCGCTCTGTTCTGAGAATATCTGTATATGAAAATCACATGTTTATATGTTGTGATTATAATTAAGAATATATATTCTCTAGATTATTTTCATTAAAACTGAAATGATGAACTGAATAATTATTTTCTTCTCGAAAATGGTACTCGATTTTCAATGTTTCTTTTTCCCAAGTACTTTTTTCTTTGTTTTATTGTGCTGATGCACAATGATACCACATAACTTTGAACTCTGCAAATTCGTATTATTACATGAAACTTTCCTCTCTGTGATGCTTAGCTAGACTTTAAAGAAAGACTTCTGCTTCACTTCAGAAGATTTTAGCCTTGTGTATAAACAAGTTTCAGGAAATAAACCAAATTATCACTTTCTTCAGAGAATTGAACAATACTTATTTTTCAAAAGAGAAATCCCTAACTTGAATCATTTCAAAGCACCTTAAACATGCCACGTTTCAGTGGAAGCATTAAAAGCACATTTTGAAGGAAATAAACACTGAACGACAGGATTACAAGAGACATGCATGCAGACAGGCATTAATCATTCCTTATTTACAAAGCTCTATCAAATATAGAACTTCTCTATGATTTGAAATAATAAGAAAGCCCTCCATAAACATTTATGTAACTCCTTTCACTAACAATGCTAGTTCAAATTTCACAGGCAGATGGGTCCAACACAAACAATAAGTTAATTTCTGTTACTGCAATAGCTCTGAACCATCATATAATAGCTTGAGCATTTTTAGTAAATTATACATTTAATGCATAACCATATGTAACAAAATAGACCTCTTTTATTGTGTATAAGCAAAATAAGAATTGTTAATTGCTAAAATTTGTTGAGGAACAGAAAACATTCATTCCCCCTAAAGCAATGCTTTAACTCTCTCCAATGGATGAATAAGCCATCTATGCCTGTGACATTACTTTATTTTATTTATTTTTTATTTCATGAAGCAGCATTAAAAGGTGACTACCAGAAGAAAATACAGCTAGCTTTCTGGTTGATAAACATTGGAAATCCCCTTAGCAGATATTAGGGTTTCATATAAAGAGCACAAACTAAAGACACTCTTTTTACATCACCAACATTCAGCAAGCAAATGTATTTTCCCATGCCACAGCAAATTCACAAGCTCCCATTAGTTCTGCATACAAATCACCAACATTCAACAGGACTACCCATGCTATTTACCTGTGATGACGGATGGTAAAATGGATTATTAAATTTCTGCCCACCAGGAGCAGAGGATGCTAAAGAGCCATAAAGAGATATTGGCTGGGAAACAAGAGTTATGAAAAGAGCCAGTAAATCAAACATGCGACTTACCAAAAAAAAATACATACAGGAAGTATAGTTTCAAGTGATGCAAGCAACAATATTAAAATGACTGTGCAAAGTGGCTGAAAGCCATATCCTTTTATGGAGGGCTACTTAGTGATTCTGCACTGCAGACTCTCTCCAGCTCCTGATTTATGCTTAAGAGCAAAATGAAAAGTGCAGGGGAAATGGTAAGGAAAAAGAAGGCAATATTTGGGCAACCAATTAACCTTTCAAATATATAGCCTCATGTGGATTTCTTAGCCTCTGCACAGATCACAATTCCTTTGCCAGGCATGGCTAACAGGTGGGAAATCAAGATGGGATATGTACAGATGTAATATATAACAGGATCTCAGCTGCCTTAGTAATATTATGATCTCCAGAGCAACGCAGTATGGAAAAATCCTCAAAAACCTTACTCTATCATTAATAGCAGAGGTGTCCAATCTTGGCCACTTTTAGACTGGTGAACGTCAACTTCCAGAATTGGACACTCCTGTTTTATAGCATGTAAATATTTCATCAATTTTCTGCATGATTAAACGAGATAGCCTCTGAAGTGCCATTTCCTGTTTCCAATCTATACAGATTTCTACAGATTTCTCACCACAAAACCAAGGACTAATTGCAACCTCAACTAATTCTGCTCTTAGCTTTGTAGATGATGTAAGATTTAGAAAGCAAAGTCTCAGTTCTCCTCCAAATTAACAAAATTTGGAATAAATGCTTAACTTTGGATGCATATTTATGGTTCTACATATCTTTCTTTTTCTCTCTTTGTATGCTTACCCTTGGTTTGCTTACAATGCTCTGTACCGTGAAGACTACTGGGTTGCCTGCTCTTCGAATGGCTTCCACTGCTTGCTCATGGCTTGCATCTCTGAGATTTATTCCATCCACCTGAAAATGTAATGTCTAAGCTTAATATGATGGTACACGTAGCTAAAAATGATGAAGAAACTCCTAAAAATTATACCTATTTCTCTATTTTATGTAGGCAAACAAACAAACATCTCTAGCCAGTCCCTTCTAAATTTCAGTCCCTCCTTTGCAGCATTTCATGATTTAGCAAGGTCATAAAATTATACATGAACACCAAAGATATATTATTAGAGTGGAAGTTATTATTCTAAGTTATAATTTAACATTGTTTTATATCTGAGAATATAATTTGTATCTTTAGTGATTCAGATATGGAGCTTAAATCAAATTCTTTTTTTTTTTTGCTCTTCAGTATTTTTATTTTTCATTTTCATTTTTATACACTCACATGTATACACCATACAATATTAAACAATAATTGCATCAATTCCTCTTGTCAACAATGCCCCAGAAAATGAAAGCCCAATATACCTCTTCTATTCCCCATACACCTCTTTCTTCCACCACCCTCCAACTTTCTATCTTCCCTCCATCATCCCCCTCTACCCTACTTCCCCTCCCCCTCTACCACTCCTCTCTCCAGATCCGCTCCCACCCTTCCTTTTCGCCTTCCCGCTTAAATTAAATTCTGATTTCACTGGCTGTCAAACATAATATAATTTTAATTTTTGTTTGGAATCTAAGATCATCTAAAATTCAAGACTGTCAAGTCTTTGGGATAAACCTGGCATCAATCTGCAATATTACATATATAACAAGGATTGTATAAAATGTAGTAAGATAGAGGAATATGAAGGGTTTTTTAAAAAAAAAAAAACAACTTCAATGGACTCCATACATTATTTTGTATGATGTCCATATTACTGATATTTGTGCACTTGTCTCTTAATAAATGTTTCAGAGTCAAAATACACGGCAGCGATCATAATCCCTAAAGCACTTTTGGAAGTGAATGATAAATAATTCATCCTTTCAAATCAAGATTGTGTTTATGTGTTTCACTATTGTAAGCACATCTCTAATAAAATAACATTGGATATTTTTAAAAATGAGATGGTGGTATAATGTATTTATTTTTTATTAATTTGTTTTAAACTTTTAAACCTTTTTGAATGAAAACCTTTTATTCAAGTACATTATAAACCAGTATTATGCCATATTCTTTTCATTTACTTTTAGAAGTCAAGATTCTTACAAAACAAAGTTTTGCTCAGAAATGTGCAAAAACATCGTTACATTCTAAGCCAGAGATGGGGAACTATGGTCCCTTTATGATTTGTGGACTTCAATTCCTAGAATTCCTGAGTAAGTTGACTCGGGAATTTTGGGAGCTGAAGTCCGCAAGTCATTAAGGGACCATAGTTCCCACCAGTTCTAAGCTCATTTTAAAAATGGAAACCAATATAATACCTCCACAACTCTATCTCCTGTTTTTAAGGTTCCATTTTTGCCAGCAGGGCTGTCTTCAAGGATGTGTTTGATGAAGATTCCTCTCATAACTTCACCATTGTTCAGACGACTTCCCATACCTCTTCCACCAACAATGCTGATTCCTAGAGACTTGCTAGGCTCTCTCCAGAGCTCAACCCTACAATGACAAATGACTAAAAAATAAATTGTTGACTGAAATGCAATTTAGTCAGAAAAAGAGGGTTTTACTAAATAGGAAAACCTAGGTGCTTAAAATTTAAACAGCAGCATGGTATAGGGCTTATTCGTGAGGTATTTTATTTCATTATTTTTATTTATTTAATTTATTTTTAATCTGCCTTTATTATTTTTGTTGACTAATTGAAAGTTAACCCCACCTTCCCTCCCACCCAATGTATCTCCTCAAACCCACAATTTTGATGTTATTCATAAATCTCACTGCTGTCGTTTTGTACTGGCTTTACTAAGTTAGAACAATAAAATAACAGAAAATACTGTCTTTCATGGTCTTTAAAAATATTGCCATGGTGATTCCTGTCCAAAATTATATGAGGCTTCACAAGTGCATATAAGACAAAAGTGATGTTTATGATTTGGGAATCTAATGAACACGCATTGAGCTAGAAAAGGCATTTCAAATCAAACTACTATAGGTAGTCCTCAACTTACAATGGTTCATTTATTGACCATTTAAAGTTACAACGGCAATGAAAAAAGTGACTCCGTTTTTCACACTTACAACTGTTGCAGCATCCCTGGGATCACAAGATCAAAATTCAAACACTTGACAATTGACTCATTTTTATGATAGTTGCAGTGGCCCCAGGGGGAGGGGTCAATTGTTAACAGTTGTTAAGAGAATCTGGCTTTCCCGCCGACTTTGCTTGTCAGAAAGTGAGAAAGTAAAAAGGTGATCACAGACCCTGGGACAATGCAACTGTCATATAAATACATGCCGGTTGCCAAGCATTCAAATTTTGATCATGTGACCATGGGGATGTTGCAAGGGTCATGTGAAAAAGATCCATCAGTCACTTTTTTCAGTGCCATGGTAACTTTGCTCATTAAGTAAATGTTAAGGTGAGGACAACCTGCATTACATTACATAGGAACCACTTGGATTTCTTCTTTTTGCTGCAGCCAATATCACATTTTATATTTGATAACACTCCTTTCAGTGTATAGTATTTAAGAAAAAATATACTCCTAATTATAGAAAAGTATGTATACCTATAAAAATAAATAACTAAAAGAACCGCTAGTTGATTATACATATAATGGTAAAATTTTCCTCTGCTATCACTGTGTCACATTTGACAGGCTGAAATTTATTTTAATTCTTTAATTCTGTTTCTATGTTTTCTCTGCCTCTGCTCCAAGGAGTGGTAAACAATACTGTTTTTCAAAAAGTGAAATTAGTATGAGTAGAAATTGTTGCTTCTGCTATGTTTGTTGAACTATGCAAGTAGTATTATTTTTAATGGCTTATAACAACAGACATATTGCTGCATTTATTATCAGAAATTTTGAGACTTTTTAGTAAAAAAAAGAACTAAGAAAGAAATATAAATCTCCTCAACTATTAATCCCAATCCACGGGCCAGTGCCACCATGTGGCCAAGAGAACCATTTTTACACTATATTTTTAGATCTGTGTATCCATATTGATGGGCATTCTCTGGTTCAAGTCCACCATCAACCAGGGAAATTTAGTGAGTCAATCACTAGCTTACAGCACAATTTTAAATAAGCAGGGAACTATGCAGTGGTGAAGTGGAAGAGAAAGAATTTCTGTCTAGGAAATGAAGTAAAAATCTAATAAGCCAACACAAACAAATAAGCAAATACAATACAATAGCAGAGTTGGAAGGCACCTTGGAGGTCTTCTAGTCCAATCCCCTGCCTAGGCAGAAAAACTTATACAGTTCCAGACAAATGGCTATCCAACATCTTCTTAAAGACTTCCAGTGTTGAGGCATTCACAACTTCTGGAGGCAAGCTGTTCCACTGATTAATTGTTCTAACTGTCAGGAAATTTCTCCTCAGTTCTAATGCATGGGACATACCCAAGTTCGGTATCCTCAAGGGCGGGAAAGTGACCTTCCCTGGACAGCCTGCAAGACTCTGTGGCCAAAGTCTGCATCTGCCGATGCAAACTTATCTAACTTATAATTCCTAATGAACGGCGATGGAGGCGCCCATGCCGCCACCCTGCAAATTTCATCTAGAGAGGCCTCTGGGACCCCCTCCTCCTAAATACTATTGTATAAGCTTGAGATCGATGTGAAACCTCTTAGAGATAATTTTGCAGTTGAAAAATGAGAAATTATATGAATGTAAAAAAGATTATATGATGAGAGAACCTTAACACCATTTTGTCTCTTATATGGTCTCCCCACTTTTGGCTCATAACTACTGCTTTAAGTTCAAGAGCTACAGTCAATGGGTATACAGCATTTTTTTTTCTAATTCCATTAGTACAGTACTTGAAATGGAAACTCAAAAGGCAGAAAATCTCAGAGCACCTCTTTTCTTCCCCATGGTAATAACACAAAGCTTTCTAAAATGAATATCATGAATTCACTAAGTCTAAATAGCAAATGGAGTACAAGTAATCCTTGATTTATGACCACAATCTGACAAATAGTTTGGCTTTAGAAAAAACTCATTCTGTAATTTACAACTTTTGCAGTAAAAAAACATCTGGGATATGTCTTCATCAAGGTAAAGCTGTAGATGAAATTTACATAAGATTTTTGTAAGGCTTTTGATATAGTAGTACATGACAAAACTGCTGTTGAAATTAAACTCTTACGGCATTTCTGGACCTTTGCACAAGTGGATTGCTGCTTTCCTGTCTAATAAGACTGCAGAAAGTCAAAATAGGGAACTGGCTGTCTAATCCCGCATCAGTTAACAGTGGTATCCCACAAGGCAGCATTTTAGGTCCCACACTTTTTTTTTGCTCTATATCAACAATTTATTTGATCAACATAAAAGCAATTGCGTCCATTTTGCCGATGACATAAAATTATTCAATTCTACAGATAATTCTGTTGTTTTGCAAAGTGATCTTGACTATGTGCTGAGTAGTCATCTATTTGGCAACTTCAAATTTCAATTAATAAATGCTCTGTCTTACATATTGATAAACATAATCAGAATGTCAAGTATAAGCTAGGTGGCATTGATCTAACAGATGACCCTCACTTTGGCAAGGGACCTAGGTGTACTTATCTCTGACAACTTATGCTCCAATGTTCCCTGTAACAGCGTTGCTAAAAAACCATTAAGAGTTGTACATTTAATTTTTCGAAGCTTTTTTTCTGGAAACATTGTATTGCTAATTAGAGTTTATAAAACCAATGTTAGGCCAATCTTTAGAGTATTGTTCAACTGTTTGGAATCCCTACCATATATCTGACATCAGCACAATTGAGCGAGTTCAGAAGCATTTCACGAGAAAAGTCTTTCACTTTTCTGTACACAATAGATTCCCTATGCTACTAGGCTCGAAATTCTCAGTTTGGATAACTGTGTCACTTGCTGTCAGACCTAGGTATTGCATACAAAAGTATACGTAGTAATGCTTTACCTGTAAATGACATTTTCTGTTTAATCGCAATAATACGTGTGCGAACAACTGCTTTAAACGCAATTTAAATCGTTCTAAACTTGACTGTAAAAAATATGATTTCTGTAATAGAGTTGTCAAAATCTGGAATTCCCTACCTGATTCAATTGTCTCAGCTACAAATTTTCAGTTTCAGTCACAAATTGACTTCTGTGGACCTTACTTCATACTTAAGTAGAGGGGGCGTGCGTAAGTGCACTAATGTGCCTATTGTCCCTGCCATTGTATTTTTTTCTTTTATTCTTGTTCTCGTTTTTGCTTGACAAATTCTAATAAATAAATAAACAATTGAGCCCCAAATTTCCTTTGCTACGCAAGATGGTTCTTAAGTGAGAATGGCCTTTCTTGCTACAATTGTTAAGAGAATCATTGCAATTTTTAAATTAGCAACATGATTGTTAAGTCAACCTGGCTTCCCCATCAACTTTGCTTGTCAGAAGGTCGCAAAAGATGAGTACATGACCCTGAGATACTGCAACTGATATAAATATGAACCAGTTGCTAAGCATCTGAATTTTGATTATGTCACCAGGATGCAAGGATCATGTGAAAAATGATCATCCGTCACTTTTTTCAGTGCCATTGTAAATTTGAATAGTGATTAATGAATGGTTACAAGTCAAGGACTGCTTGTATTCCTTCTTAAAACTTTCAAACTGATTAATTCGGCTCTAGTCAGAAGGTTAGCTCTGAAAGCAAACCCACCGTCTTGGTTGATTCCAGTTACTGTAGCCTGTGTTCTGAAGCTCACTTTCTTCTCCTTCTCCTTCTTCTCGTTCTGGTAGTTCTGGAATTTCTCTGCATATAAACAAACTTTGCTCTAAATCAAAAGAAATCATTATGATCCCCAAAACAGGTCTTTTAATATTTTGGGACATGTGAGAAAATTGGAGGGACTGGCAAATAGCACAATAAATTTTTAAAACCCTGTTAACAAACAGAAATATACACTGGAAATAATAATATAACAATGATAACAACATGGGTACAACCAAGGCAACAATAACATTAAAGGATCATAGGGTAGCGAAATAAAATAAGATCAGCTAGACCAGCCCTGAAATTATACAAAGATAGAATATACAACCAAAAAATATCCTAAGATTTATCAATGCAAACAATATAAATACAAATTCAGAATGAAAACATCAGCATTGTTTGTATACTGCCTTATTCACCTTTTTAAATATAAACCATATGATATTGACTGGGATCAAATCTCTTAATACCTCAATATACGTGATCCAAACATATTTCCAAGGTTATATGGATATATGGAGATGAGGTTTGTTTGTTCAATTTTTTCCAAATGGAAGCTTACTCCACTTCATAGGTGCCAGATTTTAAAGAATAGGTTTTTGGAAGAAGATTGACATTGGAAAACATAGGTTAGAAAGTTCCAATGAAAATGGGAAATATTAATCTTTACCCTTCTAGGGCATAAACTGATTTCTTTCTTTCGCCCTACATACAGCCCTCTGGAAGATCTCAAAATTTGATCAGGGAGGGTTGCAAATTTTTTAAGAGACAAATTATGATAAACATACCAAATCATCGAGTTCTACCAATAGAATTTTCCAAGGAAACATTTCTAATTAATTAACACATATTTAACATATAGGTGGTTCTGTTAAAGAGACATCTTGCAGAATATAAGATGGATTTCCGTTCCATTGCAAAAACAAATACCATGTCTCATCTGAATTTTAGACATCATCTATAAAAATTGATGACAATGCTTCCCAAAATATAAACCCAGACTAGCTTAATAGAACTTTTTGTTCATGTTCTTCTTCACATTTCAATCCATATCCATATATGGAAGATCCAATCCATATATGGAAGAAATACAATTTTTATGCCCCAGAAAACCTTTTCATACTTTCTAAAGGCAGGAAAATCCATCTGGTAATTTGGGATTACATAGAAGTTTCTAATACATATAATCTGAATGTAGACACTTAAGCCTTGCTGTAATTTGCATGATTTAAATTTATCATACTGCATTAATCCAATTAGGTATTTATGGCTAAGCATGATCTGTAAAAGAAACTGCAATTTAAGGCTTAGTACAATACATGAATCAGGGCATACTATCTATTCTCCACCTTCACGGCAATGCATAAAAAAGAGCAGGGGAATATGGGTAGGTCTGTTAAAAACTGCACACATATTATAGACTATTTAGCATAAATCCACTGTTTTTCTATGTGTACTGAAGAAATGTGAAAGTAAAATAAAATATGTTGTCCTACTGAGAATGGACTAGGCTTCCTGATTTTCTAGTTTCCATAAAGTGGGACAAATAATGAATATACCTAATGATGCCTTGACTTTCATATATCTTCCCACTTCCTCCAGCAATTATACAACTATGCTAACTAATTACATGCATGGTAACAACTCTTGTAACATCTTGAGCAATTTCAATAAGAATTAAGAATTTGCAAGAATAAGAATTAAGAATAAGAATTAGGTTTGCAAGATTCCACAGAAAGATCTAAATTATCCTCCATACATCTGTTAGGCTGAGACACTTGTCATTCATTAAGGAAGTAGAATTTATTGGGTGGTTCTTTCTAACAGTTAATATTATGCAAAACATCAGTGCGTGTTGCATTTGTCTCAAAAATCTAGAAATCAATACAGTATAAACATTTTCTGAAGCCCCAGGTAAAGTAGCAGCCAGGACATTGCAGAACTGTTGATAAAATGGACTTTGCATGAAATAGACCAAATTTTGGCAGTGATTCACATCACCCATATCAGTTACATCATTTGAATAATACTATTATTATTCAAATAGATTAAACTGATGCAAGTGACTTAATTTGCATAATGACATAATGATGCAAATAAAAGAAGTAGCTCCAGTGATATATTCTCCAATTTAATGAACAATTGGCAATAAGAAACTTTCCCTTTCCCACAGTCAAACTGATAAATTGGGGGTCAGTTTACCATAAATACTTTGGGATACAAATGATTATTTATATATTACTCTAACACTGCATTTTTTTTTGTTCCCTTATCTAGAATAAATACTTATAATCCAACCTTCCCCTCCACTCTCAAAAAGAAAGAACAAGCAAATTTGTATTTTTCCAATCAATATCAATGCGGTTTTTCTTCATCCATTCATGGATAGTGTTTTTTTATTCATGGGTGGACTAAATTAAAGCAAAAGGAGTTGTTTTTATTAATAGTACAGTACTCTAAATTACCTCACAGTATGTGAAGGAAAAACATCTAATGGCATTGTTCCTTCTGGCTGCTGCCCTAAACCGGCTTGGTACTCTTCTAATTGCTCTGATGGCACATAACTAATGCTGCAACACAAAAGTAAACATAAAATTAAGAAGCTGCAAATGTCTGGATATAGTTCAGTATTGAGCAATAGAGATTTTTAAGGCTATAATTCACAGTGTGGCATCGCACAAATATCTTCTTCTTAATCCAGAAAGCCTCCTTTTCATTCATTGGGAATGCACCAAATGCAAATCATAAAGGTCAATGTATAACAACAGCACTTTATCTTACATACCACTTCACAGTGCTTTACAGCCCCCTCTAAGCAATTTACAAAGTTAGCATATGGCCCCCAACAATCTGGGTCCTCATTTTACTGACCTCAGAAGGATGGAAGGCTGAGTCAACCCTGAGCCTGATGAGATTTCAACTGCCAAATTGCAGTCAGCCAGCAGCAAGCAGAAGTATCCTGCAGTACTGCACTCTAACCACTGCTCTACAAACCAATTGTATTGCATTGTATTGTATTTGTTATTTTAAAAGGAGCAAAATGTAACAAGGATAATAATGAAGGAGATTATGAATTTTAAAAAGTTATGAATGAAATGACATTAAATTAGTATCATTCAACAATGTTCTATTGGTGAAACTAAACTGAACCAAAAGAAAGCAAATTAAACTAAAAGTACTCTCTGGTAGTTCAGAAATAAAAATAATTGCAAATAGTCTTTATTTAGTGACTACCTTCTTTAACTTTACAATTAATCCTTACACTTTCTAAGTCTATTTGTGAGCTTTGCAGAACCTTAAAGGAAAAGGAAACTGAAATAAGATCATAAATACAGCCGTGGCTTCATTTAGCAACCACTTCATTTAAATGGTCATTAAATGAGAAATAGCTGTATTATTAGAACTGCATTTCCCTGCAGTATCTAGGATATTCATTGTAACTCCAAAAATACTTGGCTTAAGCAGGAAATAGCTGCAGAACTGCCAAGTAAACAGAACTGCATTGTAATTCCTGCTGGCTAAAAGCAACTATAGAAAGAAGGATTTATTAAATGAGAGATTTCAGAATTCACAGCTAGCAAGGCAGACTACCAATCTAAAGCAATCAAGGATTAAACTGATTGTACATTGATTCCTCAGAAGGTAATGAAGACAAGAGTAATTTCCATCCTCAACCAACTTAAAATGAGAAGATAGGGATGTAAATGTTATATACCATGCAACATAAGAAGAAATAAAACATGCATGATTTAATAGGCAGACAAAAAGTGTTTTATGCATACTACGATAGGAAAGAAACCAAATAAAGAAACTTATGATCACATTTAAAATAAACCACAGTACAATTTTAATAATGAAGTGAGATTCATTTAGTTACAGCATGGGGAAAAGAAAATGTAAGCAATATTGAAAATACAAGAGTGAGATTAATCCAGACATCAGTACATGGCTGTGTCATCGATAAGCAACTTGAAAACATAACAATACTTAAAGAATGCACTGGAATTTGATGCTTCACATTATATAAATCTTGGATCTTTTTTAAACTAATGGTAATTGGACAAATAAGTAAATACCCAGGCATGGGAAATCTGAAAAGCTATATTATAGCATCAGAATAAATATATGGAGGATGCTGGGATTTCTAAACTGAAATGGAGTTTCACAATGTGGCATGAAAAGAGCTGAAGTACCCCTTGAAAATTAAGCAACTGTGTTCCATGGATCCCCCATTGTAAGCTTAGCAGTGTGGAAAGTCCATAAGCATTTATTCTTTCTATCCCTATTCTATGTTGTAACTATGAGATGAAACAGAGGTAAATGTGGAACCTCTGAGTTCCCTGTGTTACAATTATCTACAGAAACACTGCTACTGTTCAGAGATAGAAAAGAATCCTGAGAAAAAATGGTGGGACGTTTAAACAAAAAGAGAGCTATCAGGAAGGCAATTGTTTTTTAACAACTGTTGAATAAATATGTATCTTTTAAAGAAAAGAATGAAACATGACTTCACTTTTAGTCCAGAAACTGCTGTGCCAAATTTTAGCCATCCACCTGCAAGCATGGAAATCGCCTCAAGATATCCAGTTTTCTGATGGATATGTTGAGGAAATATGGATGCCAAAGAAACAGGGATATTTCTGCTTTGTTTCTACATTATGGGTGTTTTAAGACAAATTTCTCTCCTTTTTAAAATCAAAGGAAGGGAATCTATCCCTTGGTAACTCCAGGGCTTGCCTACACAACCTTAGTTAATAGACCATTGGATCTAGTATACATGTTTCAAACTTGCTGCATCACATTGCTGTCACATGACATATCATAACATTTTTCCCCTTAACAGATCTGGGGTGGGTGTGGCCAACATGTGACGCATCCGGCCCGCGGGCCACAAGCTTGACACTCCTGGTCTAGTAGAATAATAGATTGGCTTCCCAAAACATCTCTTGTCCAAACCCTGGAAAAAAGAATACGTGACATTTCTGACAATGGATTTTCCTGTTCAAGCTCCAAATTTTCTCTCTGACCACTCAGTGGAAATCTTTTATTAGTGTTTCTTTAAAATTTAAAGGCAAAAAGATGCTTCAAAGTGTGTGGAGGGACACATACAATTGCAACTGCTTAAAGCAGCTACCTCTTTTCCTATGATCCCACAGCTACCGCATGAACTAAGAAAAAACTGTTTTTATTTAAGGAGATGCAGGCCACACATACTCTGAAATATCTTTTGCTTTCCACTCCAAAGGTATGCACAACCCATCATTCTCCACAAGACTGCATCCTAAATAATTTACAGCTTGCATTTTTCTCAGCATGAAAGTCAAAGGAACCTAGAAAGGATTCTAAGGCATTCTCCTATCCACATATTAACCTGATCCATGATTGCTTAGCTACAAAAAGAAATTGGAAATTTGATTAATATTTGGCAGTCTTGTCTGAAAAATAAAATGGGGCAGAAAACCTGGGTATCTTCAGAAATTGCTAATTATAATTCTCAATATCTCACACCATTGGGAATGCTGGCTAAGACTGAGAATTTTGTTCTTCAAGGCCTGGAACAGGGGTGTCAAACTCGCGACATCACAGTAGCATCACGTGACGTATCGGGACTTTGTTCCACTTTGCTTAAACTGGGTGTGGCCAGCGTGTGACGCATCCAGCCCATGGGCTGCAAATTTGACAGCCCTGGCCTGGAAGAGTCCACGTTCCCTGTTCCAATCTAAACTATAAACTTGGCTTCTATAAACTTATCTTTAAAAGATGAATGTGTGTTTTTAACTGATTAAAAACTATGATATTCATCTTAGATCTCCAAATATACCTATAAATTGAAGGATTTGATTTAGTTGAATAATTAATCAGGTAATCTCATCTAGTAATAGGTTTTAATTGGTTGAAAGCATCTGTGTGTCTGTGTACATTATGTGGTACCTATATCTGGATACATCCCAGCTACTTCTGATGTTATAAAAGCATGAATGAATGAACAGTCAAGTTGGAACACAGAGCTATAATGAGCTTTTGAATCGCCAATACTCACACATAAAAGGGGGCCTGATCATCAGCAGGTGTTGGAGAAGATCTAGAATGTGAAGCATACGACGCAGCATCTTTTTACAATATTGTTAACAAATGTCAGTGACTTCTACTCAATGAGAGATGCATACACACGTATTTAAAAGTGTGCACTCCTACTTACTTTCTTCTTCCCCCTCTCCACCTCTATTCTATCCACACCTCCCATCAGAAAGCATCTGTTCTTTATTGGAGTGTATAGCAATGATTATTAACAAGTATGAAAAATGCAATCGCAATCAATCTTTTATTCCTTGATCAGAGATTCATCTCCACACGTTCGGTTAAGGCAGGTGAATTCTGAATCAGCTCCGTAATTATCTGGCAGATGTTAGAGGCAGCTGTTATAACTACTGCTAAAAGCAAAAGTCTCTAGATATTGTTAAAGAAATGTAAGGTGCAGGGAGAAGTGAAGCCACAGACATCCTGATGATGCTATACATCTGCTTTTCTGCTTAGGAAAAAAAAGTTTATATATGAAGGAAAGGAAAAAAAGATGAGAGAGAGAGAGAAAGAGAAAACATACTATAAACTATAATCCCAAGCAAAATTATTATGAAAAAGTTATGCTGGGCTTGACACTCAAATTAGGGGACTGGTAGAAAGTTTTGTTTGCATATAAAGCCCAAATTTGAATTGCTAATTTAGAGTTCAAGGCACAGTACCTGCAATTTAAGTCTCAGCATTTGGAGCACTGTTTTAATAGGTATAGATCATTCACATTCATTACAATTGGGTGGCATTTTACATTAAATTATATCCCACAAATGACTTAAAATGCAGTTTTCTTCCTAATACTGTAAAAAATATATACTGAGAAAGCGTTGTTATAATGTCATGTGTCATAATTTCTATATTCACCATTTTCCACTATTGAAATATTTCTCAGTTACTTGAGGTAAAAGATCAAAGCTTATTTATAAAATACCAATGTTTTTCAATTGATCTGCCTGAACAAATAAAATCTAATTTAAATCCCATGCAAATACTATCACTGTATCTTCCAGGAATCCTGGAAAGCAAGAGATTCAAAAAGGTGTTAAAATACCTTTTGTCTCATGGATCAATATATAATTCTTTGTCACTCTAATGCTACTATTAACTGGAAATAAAGAAGAGATTTCTGATCCTTTCTTCCCTATTTACCACCCTCACTTATCTAACAAACTATTTCCCCTCCCAAAGGTGATTTCATGCTGTAATATTCCATCAACTTTCACCATTGCTTGGACATTGAAGGGGAATATTCTTCAGCTACAGCAATTCCATTGACAGCTTTAAGGAGCAGCTGCTAAGTGTTAATTTTTAGAAGCCAGTTCAGGATTTAGTTTAATAATATTTTTAATCAAGTTCAGTTTTTTTCATTATAGTTGAAAAACTATAATGAAAGATTTGTAAGATTAAGTGATAAGGGCAAACATTTCCCTCCCCTTATTGCAAATGGTTGGCAAATTCCATGTATTTATTTGAATTCATGAAATTATATCAAACCAGTAAATGGGATAATCAAACTACCATACTGGATTGCAATTTTGGAACTCTCATTGGTTGGTTGTGATTCACAGAAGACATTTCACCTTCTTCCATCAATGTAAAATCCAGTTTAATACTGAAACTTCATTGGGATATGGAATTAAAAAATAATCAAGGAATTAAAAAAAAACACAAGTGCAATGACAATATAATTGATGCATACTGTGTTTGAAAATCTACCAATCTGTATAACGTCCAACTTACTTTATATCTGGTCCAATGACAGAATGCCTCCTCAGCATGGCCCGTGCTTGGGCACTAGTTAAATTAGCAGTAGGTTCCTCATTAATAGACAATATACAGTCTCCAATACCAATTCGTCCATCACGATTTATGGAACCACCATGGATAATGCTGCGAACTATCATTCCCATGCCATCTTTATTAGAACTTACTGTCATCCCTTATGGAGGAAAAAAAGTTTAGCACTAATAAGAAACATGGTATCTGACTTGAACTTACACTGAATAACATTCATTTTTTGAAATAGTTTTTATTTATATGTTTATCTGTATTTCTGCCAATATACACATGCTTCCACATATTTTTTTAAAAATCATAACTTGAAAAAAAATATCATATTGGTAGGTCTGAGGAGTCAACATTCAAAATATGCCTAGCAGGTCAAAAAACACCAGCTAGAAAATTCTCACTTAAAAAAAAAAATGGGAACAGCTGAGGCTGGCATATGAGATTGTCTCTTCAGGTCTACAGCTGCCTCCATCACATAAGCTCAAGGTTAAGATCAAAAAGATGACGAATTCCTAATGCCTTCTGTTTTGTTTAAAAAGCTACTTAATTAGATGAGATCTGCTTTTTTTTTACATATGGCCTCAAAGAAAGAAGCAGAGAACAGAAAAGGAAAAAGCAATGAACTTATTTTTAATTTAATTTTTAAAAAGTGAGCAAAGAGAAAGAAAAGGAAGATCAAGATGAGATAATGATGAAGAAAGTACAGAAGATTTGTTCTGAACAGGAATGAATTACAAAGCACAAAAGTGCTTTCATCCTTCCCATATTTGAATATGGCCAATATTTTTGTTCTTCTGAACACTTCCAGGATAAAAAGAATGTTAACATTTTTCAAATAGAGAGTTCTTAGATTTGGCATCATTATATTAAGGAAGCTCATAGTTTCATCATTGGAATGATTCTTTTTCTTTTTTGGAATTAAATTACTTAGACAACTATATTATTATAACAATACACATTGATCTTCTCCTGACTGTTCCTGCCTTCATATGGAAAGGAAAATGTATAGATAGATATGATGCTATAATTATGATATACCGTATTTTTCAGAGTATAAGACACTGGAGTATAGGATGCACCAAGATTTTGAAGAGGCAATTTTTAAAAAAGAAAATGTTTGTACTCCGCAGACCTCCCCAAAACAGCTGGTTTTTTTTTGCAAAAATGAGCCCGCTTTTTGTCAAAAAAGGGCACGAATAGCCTTTAGGAGGCTTGTAGAGTGTTCCTGAGGGGTGGGAAGGGGCAAAAATGAGCAAAAAACAGGCCATTTTTTGCAAAAACTGTCCTGTTTTTTGTCAAAAAAAGGGGCATGCATAGCCTTTAGCAGGTTTATAGAGTGCTCTTGGAGGCTGGGTGGGGGGAATGGTAAAAAAACAGCCTGTTTTTCACTCATTTTTGCCCTCCTCATCCCCCAGGAGCACTTTGGAAGCCTCCTAAAGGCTATGCATGGCCATTTTTGCAAAGGGGGATGGGGTTTCAGGAAGCCAAAAATGCTGTATTCAGTTTATAAGAAGCACCCAGATTTTCACCCTTTTTAAAAGGGAAAACGGTGTGTCTTATACTCCGAAAAATACAGTAATTATTATTGAGATCATATATAAAAATCTTTGCTTTTTGATTAAAGCAACTTAAAAGAATAATATCTAGTTTTCTTTCAGGAATAACTAGGCAGAAACAAGGATTGCAAGAACAAAGATGTGTACAGTTACGTGAGGTACATTACCTAAGCTTGAATTGCCTTTTGCAATGGTAATCATTTTCTCCAACTTGTTTTTATTTGTATCTAGGCCAGCAAGCATTAAGCTATTATTTTCCATCAAGAACTCTTGATCCTGGTAAGAAGAAAATAAAAGTCACTTCTGGAAAACATAGTAGGATTTTGTGTAGTTTACAAATCACAAGCTACTAGACAGTCTGAATATTTGTAAAATTCTTCAAAGTGCTTGTTTCTCTTCAAACTAAGCAAACAACAAAAAAAGTATCATAGTGTTTTACTAAAATAACTGCCCGCAGGAAGTATACCCTTTACAACTAGTAGCAAACAGACATACAATATTTTTTTTTTAAAAAAAAACTAGACTTATCCAATCTTGTGCGCTCCAAATGCACAGTTTGATTCCAGGTATTGAAAGTTGTACAATTCAGCTAACATGCTCTGTCTAGCTGTGCAATCAATTTTGGTCCTTGTTGCATACTCCATATTAGTTTCCCAAAATGGAATATGTCTTTGTGTTAATGAATCGACAATTTCACCTCTCTCTCTTGTGGAATAGGATCCCTCCACAAGGTACCCATGATTCTGTACTGTATAGAACAATATTCTTGAACAGCAAGTGCTATGTTAAGTCACAGTTCAGTTCTTAGAAAGCAAGCTGTGACACAAATTAGTGTATACAATCCATACAATCCCAACATGTTCTATTAAGATTCTTCTAGATCGAGGTGTCAAACTTGCGTCGTCATGGCGTCATCACATGACATATCATGACTTTTCCCCCTCCACTAAACTGGGCGTGGCCAGTGTGTGACACATCCGGGTCGCAAGTTTGACACTCCTGTTCTAGATCAAAGGGCAGAATGACAAGAAAACACTATCACCTTTAGTCTCATTTGATCTACTAAATCTCTGAAAAGGATGCTTTTTCACAAATGCATGTAATGAATCCTTTCAGTTGAATGAAGTGGCAATCTAGAACTTACTTTTGTACAGTGTGAAAATTCGGGTGTTAGCAAAGATTCTCTCCACATGCTTATGCTTTCATGTTCAACTTGTTTCTTAGGAGATTGTGTGGTTGGATTCACAAGAAAAGATTCTGTGATCTGTTTCATACATCCACCTGCAGATTTACTCTCTGTCTCTCTTTGTATTAGATCCATTGTGTACAGGTTTTTATCTGATGATTGGTAACTGAGTGGGTCACTGGAATCTTCTTTGAAAGTAGTCTAGCAAACAAAATAACAAGAATTCTAAACTCATTCTATTTTTAAAGTATGATAGAATATTATTGATAGAATATTAGTGATTTGATAATTAATTAATTATTAAATCAATAATATTCTATCATACTTTAAAATTAGAATTAGTCAGTTAATTATTAATACATTTTCAATTATTAAAATAAAGCCACAATTGTGTTGGCTCCACTTTTGGTGAAGCTATTTTGAGTCCACCATTTCTTCCTCTGGAAGTCTAAAAACCTTTCCAATTAATAACTAGTTTACATTCAGGGGGCCATATGGTCCATTTTTATTTTTGTATAATTATTTTTATTGGGATAAAGTGATAAATATAACCACTACCAAGTTTCATGGATGAAGGCAGTTATACGTGTTCCAAGATAATGTTGCATGAAGTTTAGTCTTCCAAGCTTTTGGACTCGTGCTGGAGCCCATCCACTGGGAACCTCTCTCTCACCAGAATATGGCACAGAAACAAGTTCCTTGAGGATGGGCTCTAGCACAAGTCTAAAAACTCAGAAGACTAAATATCTGATCCCAGTGACTGACCCAGATTGGATCCTACTACCAAATTTGATTGTAAATATTTTATTTCTATTCTGATGGGACACAAGATAATAATTTCAAGAACATGATTTCTATACCTTGTATAAAATTGGATGCGTTGCAGAGTATGCTTCCCAGCATGCACTTTAATTTCTAATTTCATTAACTATTGCAAAGTTGAACAATGCAATCTGGCATAGTGGCACAGGTATACTTTGTTTAGTCTAATAAATTTTATTAGGAAATAAATTTTGGTTGTCAGATCCATGCTGTATCCGATAGAAATAAGATGCCAAAAGAAATGATGCCAGCTTACAAAATTCAGGTGTGAAAGAAGAGCAACTTCTTTTTTCAAACAAAACAGATGTGAGTTATTTATAAAACAATAAAAGCAGGATAAAACCCAGTTCAAAGAATGAACTGACAATCCCACCATGAATATTACAAGAAATACACAGAATGACCCAAAAGAGAGAGAATCAGAAAAAGGGGAGAGGAGAAAAGCTAACATGATCAACAATAAAGAACAACATCAAAATTTAAAAAAAGAATTTGAGTGACCTTTTGACAAAAGAATTTGATTGACCTTTCGAGCGTTGATTTTGTAAAGCGATTTACTAACAATTTCCCTTAAGAAAATTAGAGTTTTTAATGCTTGAACTTTAAGCATGGAGCATTCATTATACTTACGCATGTCTTTCCATAAGTGGCTTGTTATTGTTTAGATTTCTTTGAACCACATTTTTTTTTGTAAATTGGAGCACCTAAAAATTATGGTAAATGGTCTGCTGAATACTGAAAATCTGAAAGGTAATTCAATCAGCATTACTATCTAAATGAAATTACCCTTTAATTTAGTTTAAAAAAAACTATGAACAGATGGAACCAACTGGTAACATTACCTTCACTGTCCAAGCAGACATTTTCATAAGGCTGATTTATAGTTATGAACTAAGTGTCTTTCTGCTCATATCCCTGCTCATATCCTTCCCCCATAATTTTACCTTGGGAGTTGAAGAGGGCAGCGAAAGAGCAAGCTGCAGATCATCACCACAAATGCCGCTATGCAATGTTAAAGCTGAAGGCTGGAATGTACCATCATTATCTGGAGAACAGCCCGATCCCATTGTACAGTCTTCTATTACATCTGTCTCACTTGAATCCACCTAATAGCAAAGGCAATTCAATCAAATGGGCTACCTTTGTATCAGTTTCAAATACAAGCATCGGTGGCTATTAAAAGCTATTTTCCTTTGTAACATTTTTCTTTTCAGTTTTCCAAGTAGAATATCTTGGCTTGCAGCGTGCTTATTTCCACTCGATGCTTTGGATATCAGATCATGGGTAGGCAATGACTTTTATGTGAAAAAATTTTAGTTGACTTTTTTATTATCGCTCTAAAATATTATGCTTTGTGCAGGATCACATTTCAGCCCAACATTTCTGCTGCTAAAAAAAGCACTGGTTAAGTGAGTTTTGCCCCATTTTAGGACCTTTTTTGTCACAGTTCTTAAGAGAATCACTGCAGTTGTTATGCAAACCATGCAATCATTAAGTGAATCTGGCTTCCTCCATTGACTTTGCTTGTCAAAAGCTGGTTAGGAATGATCACAAGATCCCAGGACACTCCAATGATTATAAATAAATGCTAGTTACGTGCCCGCCTAAATTTTGATTTTGTGACTGTGGGGATGCTGCAATGGTTGTTAAGTGTGAAAACCAGTCAAATCACTTTTTTCAGTGCTGTTGTAACTTTGAACAGTCACTAAACAAATGGGTGCAAGTCAAAGACTACTGTATTGTTCTAAGTAGGCTTACTTTTATAATAACAACAGCACTTAGACTTATATACTGTTTCACAGTGCTTTACAGCCCTCTCTAAGCGGTTAACAGAGTCAGCATATTGCCCCCAACATGCTGGGTCCTAATTTTACCCACCTCAGGATGGAAGGCTGAGTCAACCTTGAGCCTGGTGAGATTCAATCTGCCAAATTGCAGGCAGCCAGCAGGCAGCAGAAGTAGCCTGCAGTACTGCACTCTAACCACTGTGCCATCATGGCTCATAATCTATCTATCTATAAATATCTCTCGCTCTCGCTCTGTGTGTGTGTGTGTGTGTGTGTGTGTGTGTGTGTGTGCACGCGTTCCAGCATAACTCTGGAATGCCTCGAGCAATTTCAACCAAACTTGGTACATAGATAACTTCCTTGCTGGGAAAAAATATCTAACACCTCCTCGGGGTGTGTGTTCTGTTAAGATACAGCCTGTTGTGCCTTAAAATGGATTCTACTGTACTGCCATAAAATGGCTTTTACCATACAGCGCATTGGAGTTGCCATGGTAACGGCTTCACAGTACTCCACAAAGGGTCTCCCTCTGGTAAGGGGGAAAATCCAACATTAGAAATTACTTTTGGTCTAGATATTTTCCCTCTATAAATAAATACTCAGACAACACCGGGTTATCAGCTAGTTTACTATAAATAATCAAGTGGATTATTCCATAAACTTTAATGATTGTGATTTTTTTAAAAAAAGTTGTGATTTATTCCCAAAATATATTACTATTGCTCATTAGAAATATGCTAGCACACACTGTAAATATATACTCAGTATTATTGCCTTCTCAGAACATTTTCATATAAGCCTAGCATTACAACAATGAAATCATGGGATTCACTATAAATTCTATGGATACAATCCAGTTCAGTTCAAGTCAGAAGCTAAAATCCAATGCATGTCAATTACATTAACCTGAATTTATGATCGGCAGGAATATGATCAAATTATATCTTAAATAAAAGTTGAACTTTAACAAAATAAATAAATAAGGAACATATCCCAAACTAAGTAGCTTTGTGATAAAATCCTTCAGAAGTTTCTACAATAAAAACATTTTTAACAAATAGAACCACTGTGAAAACACCAAGTATTTTTCCCATAGTTCCCATATATCTTGACCTGAATCAATTGTACCTCTCAGCCTTTCTGTCAAATTAGAATTCCTATTTGCAAAATTCTATGTAAACATTCTCATATTATATACTGGTATTTCCAACTCCTGCAGTAAATTTAAAACAAAGTAGCTTGTGCCTTATATAAAGCTATACATGCCTGTATGTGCATATTATGCTAATGAACCATATTATCTCCAAAATCAAAGGGTGAAATATTTGGTCAGCTCAATGGGGACAATATTACAGAAGATGAAGTGACACCGGTGAAGAAGTAATCTTCAGGCTGGTGTTTTTGGCTTAAAGCATGGTCAGAGCTGCTGTCTTTCTATAAATCTTGGTGGGGGTGTGTGTGGAGTGCTGGCTTTGTTTCAGTAAGTGGATTGATTGGTTGTGTGATTGTATCATGATAGGTAGATTGGTGCTGATTGGTGCTGGCTGTGTGTCTGTTGTTGTTTTGTGTTGTAATGGCCTGGGTGGTGGGTGGGGCTCGTTTGTTGACTAGGACTAGTTTCCAGATGTTTGGTAGGCGGAAGTATCGTCACGTTTATTCATGTTGTGGGAGTGTTTCTCTATTTCGATAGCTGCCATAATTATTATCTTGTTGAAGTGTTTAGTTTTAGAGATTAATTTGGTTCCTTCAAAATTAATTTCACGTCCTTTAGCTTTAAGGTGCTGGAAAGGGGAGGAAGTTTTTTTCTTTTTTCTTACTGCGTTCTTGTGTTCTGCAATGCGTGCATTTATTCTCCTGTTCGTTTGTCCTATGTATGTTGCAGGGCAGATTTTGCATGGTATTTTGTAAACTCCTTGGTTTTCTAGCTGGATTTTGTCTTTGGGGTTTCTTAAGATGTTGGCTATTTTTTTGGTCAGTGTTGAAGACTGTCTTGATATTGTGTTTGTGGAGAATTTTGCTGATTTTATCTGTAGTGTCTTTGATGTAAGGGAGGAGGGCAATGCCGTTGTCTTGTTCTGTGTCTCGGTTTTTGGGGGGAGTTCTCTTTGGAGAAAACTTCCTCCCTTTTCCAGCATCTTAAAGCTACAGGACATGAAATTAATTTTGAAGGAACCAAATTAATCTCCAAAACTGAACACTTCAACAAGAGAATAATTATGGAAGCTATCAAAATAGAGAAACACCCCCACAACATAAATAAATGTGACGATACCTCCTGCCTACCAGACATCTGGAAATCAGCCCTAGTCAACAAACGAGCCCCATCCACCACCCAGGCCATTACAACACAAAACAACGGACACACAGCCAGAACCAATCAGCACCAATCTACCAAACATGATACAACCACACAACCAATCAATCCACTTACTGAAACAAAGCCAGCGCTCCACACACCCAACCAAGATTTATAGAAAGATGGCAGCTCCAACCACGCTTTAAACCGCAAACACCAGCCTGAAGATGGCGAATGAGACCTCGCCAAAATGTTGCCAAGACAATCTCGGGAAATGTTGCCAAGAAAATCTCGGGAAAAGACCCGAATACAACAAGACCAGCATATCTACACCCATGAAATATATATATGTGTGTGTGTGTGTGTGTGTGTGTGTGTGTGTGTGTGTTACGTGTGTGTGTGTGTTACGTGTGTGTGTGTGTGTGTTTTCAGGACAGAAATTAGGCTGAGCTGACAAGCAAAGAAAACCCCATCTGCGGGATGCAGGCAGCATGAGAAACTTCACCCCTTCCCGTCCATGGAGAAGGAGGCAATAAATGGAATGAGCTGCAAGACCTCAGAAAGACCAATGTGACATCTGCATACCACCACAAAGATGGTCTGGATCAATATAATCCAAAATAATTTTCAATTTACTAAATCCCATGAAAAGATGACAGATATACATACATGCACACAAACACACACACACACACACTTCCTGCCTATTCTGAGATAGCAGGGACTTCAGATAGATTACTATTAAATGAGCAAGAATTTGGCCATTTTAGCTATTGGATTGACATACATATATAAAGAATCAGTCAAAGATTCATTCATTATTCTAGCTTTTGTGGATTTTTGAAGACTGGCCAATATCTCAGCTACTATATACAGTATATTACTAGAGCATGGCTGAGTAATTACGGCAACTTTACCACCTGTGGATTTCAACTCCCAGAATTCCTGAACAGAACAAGTCAGATTTTCTTTTTTATAGCAAACTGAAAAAGTATGAGAAAACTGAGTATATGGAATAAGAGAAAACCCATTGTCTTCTGAAGTTATTAGATATTGCCGAGTTTAAATGGGCAACAAGCATTTGAATCATATCCTGCATTTATATCGAGTTCTAAGTTCCAAGAGGTCCAAGTTCCAAGAGAGAAATTGCAGAGTCCTAAAAAGTAATTTGAATGGATGGCTGGGGCCATAATTTCCTTGTTTTATAGGATTATATATATGCATGGTTTCTCATTTAAAAAATAATGGTTTGCTTTTGTAATTTTCTTACTCTTTTTAACTGTACGTTATTCTTAAGGCTTCAAGGATTTTTTTAAATAAATGTTTAAATATTTAGAGAGTTTAATTTTGGCACACAAAATTGTCTTCTTATAAATACATTGCTTTGATATAGTTATGGATATTTTCTTATATTAGTAAATAAATGACCTTCATGTAGATTCAAGGAAACCAAGCAAGACGTCTTTACAACACCTGTTAAATGTCAACAGCAGGACTGTTCCTGTATTGTTCGTTAACAAAATACCGGTCAAAATTAATACATAGAATAAAAAGACTAACTATAGACTAACCAGAGCCAGCTCAGCATGGAAGAGGGCTGAATCGGTTAGCCCTTCCTCCTCAAAGGACTGGGCAGTGTAGAAAAAGGAATCTTCCTTAGCAGAAACATAGCCCTCTTCTGGTGAAAGCTGCAGAAAGAATGAAGCTCTTGAGTTGGATGATGGCCAGTGAACAGAACATGCCATGTAAGTAAATACTATGAAAATTTAAATGAAAATAAAGATCAGGAAAAAAGGTATCTAGAAATGATATTACAGCCCTCAAACCATGAAATGATTTATAAGATTGAAAAAAGAAAAATGAGATGGCAATAATCATGAATTGAAATAGCCTTTAAGCATCACATGGTTATGTACCTATGTGCTGATATTTGAGATTTTCTCCTAGACCAGATGATAAATTGTCTCTGTCCCGAGAGATTGCCTGATTTCCAACACAGTTAAGCGTCATAAACTAGATTTAAGATTAAACTAGATTTAAGCCTATTCAGTCTTATCAAGTTTAAATTATACTTAGTTCGTAAACACAACACATAAGTTCCTGTGAAATCGGTAGCACTTCTTGCGATAAACATGTTTGGAGCAGATTGAAAATTATATTTATTTTTTAAAAAATTTACCTGTCTGGCTTGTGAATTTCATAGTAAGTTACCGGGAGATAACAGCTTTCACAATCTTGCCATGAATGTTGAACCCAATTTCAATATGAAGGATTTTATTAAGAAATAGTTCATTCCAATACAACTAAAATGTATTCCTTATTTACATCATAATAAAACTACATTATGTACATCCTTTTCTGTTGGGTTTGAGGTTAGATTATAGAATTGAGATAGGATTGGTCATGGTTGTTGATGACTCAACATTATGGATTATATATCCACCCAGGCCTTGTCTTTGATTAGAGACCTTCAATACAGTGATGGGACTAAAAAAAATTTACTACTGGTTCTGTGGGCGCGACTTGGTGGGCGTGGCATAGCATGGCATGACTTGATGAGTGTGGCTTGGTGGGTGTGGCAGGGGAAGGATACTGTAAAATCTCCATTCCCTCCTGATCAACTGGGACTCGGGAGGCAGAGAATAGATGGGGGCGGAGCCAATCAGAAGTGGTATTTACCAGTTCTCTGAACTACTCAAAATTTCCTCTGCTGGTTTTCCAGAACTGGTCAGAATCTGCTGAATACCACCACTGCTTCAATACCTCTTTAATCAGGTTTAGGGGAATTGGTAATGAGGGAGGGGGGGTACAGTGCCTTTCCTCCTTCCTCTAAGGCTGGTTCTAGTTAAAATTGATACAAAATATGCCTTTTCAACATTTTCTTCCTGCTTTTATTTACCATCTATATGAAAGCTCTGAGTAACTCAGGGCATTTGTCCATATAAGGTTAACTGTTGTGGCCCAGCAGGCGCCGTTGGAGCTGCCAACAGACTCCAACAGCAAGGGGCCCTATGAGTCAGCTCTGGAGGATGTGGAGGACCCTGGACAGGGTTCCAATCCGAGCCGGGCGCAGAGAGACTGGTTGGCCACCAGGAGCCTTGGACCAGTGGGGAGGAGACAAGGGAGTGTGATCCGGATGTCAGCAGTGGGGAGGAGCCAAGGGAGTTGTTCCTAGATGCCCAGCACCGGAGAGCTAATAGGCATAAAGAACAGTTGCGCAGTTACAGGAGGTAATTGCACTCAGCTGGTGGTAATTAGGCTCCTCTCAACACTATAAAAGGAATGCTTGTGCACACGCCCCTTTTGCAGTAGTCAACACATTTACGAAAGTTGGAGAACTGTCGTGTTAGCTTGGCAGGCTGGATTGCTGCCAAGGCTTGTCTGTGCTGGATTGCTGCCAAGGCTTGTCTGTGCTGGATTGCTACCAAGGCTTGTCTGTGCTGTTTGTTGCCAAGGACCTGTCTGTCTGTTCATAAATTCCGTAAAGTATCTTTGGCTCGGCGTGCTTTGGTGTGGGATGAGGGGGGTCAGAACAGTTAACTAACATTAATATTCTGTACATCTCTGCCCTACCCATCACTTGGATAACTTAACATTCCCCCAGTGTGCAATTTGGAGGTCCTGCACAAAGAGCAGGTGCCAGCCAAGGCCAGGAGGGCCTTAGCACACGTCTATCCATCATGCCAGTGGAGCCCCCTAGATCAGGAGACATCACAGTCACAGTCTTTAAGGAAGAGGTATCACCCATAAAACTCTGGGAGATACAGGGCCAGGATAGCAATGAGTCTCTATGTTTCTGATAGTTTCTACCCATTCCACCAGACCTCAGGTCCCTTTTGTCAAACTGAATGACCTGGTTGAACCCAGGATGTGTGCTTTCTATGTCACAATGCCTGTCCTATGAAACAGCCTCCCCTCTGAGCCTAGAATGGTCCCAACTGCCCCCTAGCCTTGAAGAGCTGGCTTTCCCCTCACACATTGGTGCCAGAAATGAGCCCAATATATATTCTCTTGTGCATGTTTTAAGATATTTATTATGGTAAAAATATATATATATTTTTGCTTGCAGTCACAGACATATTGTACTAGATTGTTATTTTATTTTATTTTGGTTTATGTTTTCCATACAATATTGTTAATTGATCAGAGTTATTAAGGTGAGATGGCAGCATAATATATTGTTTAAATAAATAATCATCATGCCTGCAATAACTAATATCTCAATAATTGTGAAAAATGTTCTGTCTACATTTTATCATCCACTTTTAATAACCCCATAATCCCTTGCAGGGTGGAGTCTAGGCAACTGAATGGAGCTGAGTGTTTACTGGCCAGATGCCCTTCCTGTCACCAATGCAGAGTGTTTTTCAGCAAATATATTCTCAAGTGTGTCCAGAGAGAGAGAAATATCTGCCTCTACCTAGGATCGAACTCACAGCCTCTTGATTGTGAGGTGAGAGCTCCACCTCTAGACCACCATACCACTCGTTCTGGCTGCATTGAATTATCAGAAAAACAGGCCATCATAGATATATAAAATGATTTATATCCCAAATTAGAAAGAAACATTCCCTTCCGTTAGTAAAAACTTTCGGCTCTTCTATCAAAACAGCAATTCAATGGGCAACTCCAAAGCCCTGTGTGGCCACTGAATCGTTTTTTGCGATCCTCTGAACTCCCCGAGTCCACTGCTGTTGAAATGTGATGGCAATGTTTCCAATTTCCAAATGAAAAATAGGGGCAAATTTTAGCAATACGTCTGAGCTTACACTAATAGTAAACAAAAAAAGACACCCTCTCCCCAATTCATCCACAAACCTTAGTCCCAAATTCATGTGTGATGAGGCCCATTTATTTTGCAGCATTCAGTACTCTTCTGAATCACTAAGTGTAGCCCTTGCTTATAAAATGTTGCACACCTCTGTGCAAAGGTGGCACAGCACCAGGATTCAGCCAGAAAAGGTAGATATATAAATGTCCTACTTTTCCAGAAAGTAGCCCTCAAACCAGCGACCAAAATTACTGCTTTACTGATTCAAGGAATAAATGAAAACAATTACTGCCAAACTTTCAGTTCTGTTCACTATAGATTCCTGCCATTTAGGAACAGAAAATTTCCAGATTATGTGTAGAAGAAGGTTTCATAACATACATGTTTTTGCATGTATGCATTTGTGTGAAATAAATATGCAAAATTATTACTATGTAGATACCAAAGTTGCTGAAGTATACATAATAGATAATTAATGCATTCAAACGTTTAGTGTAAGCATTGTTTGCTTATACTTTATGAAAATAAATCATAACATTTTTGTTTGGGGTGTTTTAAATATTCTTACCCTAGGTTTCTGGAAGCAACATGTTTTTACCCTCTGTTTCAATTTACTATGCCAACAGTAACTAATTCTCAAACTAAAGTTATTATTTTGGCTCCGAATAAGTTATTGAGTAGCTGCGCTACTTTCATGAATCTCAAGCAAAGGTATTTTTTGCAGAACAAAGTGGTAGTGGGTTGGGTCACAGAGCTTTGTTACTCTCTTGATGACAATTGTATAAAATGAGAGATTTTGCAAAGGGCAATTTGCAGGTAAACATCTAAAACAGCATTTTATTATCTCACAACAAATGTTAGTTCACCTTTAAGTATCAACAGTTATATACCTAAAGCAGTGGTGGGATTCAAAAATTTTTACCACTGATTCTGTGGGTGTGGCTTTGTGGGTGTGGCATGGCTTGGTGGGGGGGGGTTGGTGGCCGTGGCAGGGGAAGGATACCTTAAAATCTCCATTTCCTCCCCACTCCAGGGGAAGTTTACTGCAAAATGCCCATTCCCTCCTGATCAACTGGGACTCGGGAGGCAGAGAACAGATGTGGGTGGGGGCCAGTCAGAAGTGGTATTTACCGGTTCTCCGAACTACTCAAAATTTCTGCTACAGGTTCTCCAGAACTGGTCAGAACCTGCTGAATACCACCTCTGACCTAAACTCCTACATCAGTAAATACCCCAAGAGTTTATTTGCAAAATTCAAAATCCCACTATATAAAACAAGAATTCTTACAGGCAATGGCTTGGCGACTCCTATTTTCACCATTCCCAGAGGTGCTCCTTTCAGGGCCTGCACAGCTTCCTCCAGGCTACCATTTTCCAAGCTGGTGTCATTGACAAACATAAGCCTGTCTCCTGGGAGGAGCCTGCCATCTTGTTCAGCAATGCCCCCAGGGACAAGAGAGCGGATCACAATCACTGTATTTGCGGGGTCCACCGGATCCTTATTGAAGGAGAAAAGAGGGAAACGTAAGGGGGGGGAGAAATGTTGACATGTGTTTTTATTTACTTTGTTATTTATTTATTCATTCAATTTCTGCAGCGTCCAACTCACCAAGATTCTGGGCGGCCTGCAATTTTAAAATTCGAAAAAATGATTAAAACAATTTAAAAGACATTTAAAATGTCCACCAAAATAAGTAAATACAAACAGCAGCTGTGATGATTAATCTGCTAACAGTAAAGCCAAGTAACAAGGCCCTTCACACATTCTGAGCCCCAGGCCCGGGGATATAGCCAGGTTTTAAAGCTTTGTGAAAAGCCAACAGGGTAGGGGCCATTCTAGTGTTCGAGGGGAGAATATTCCATAAGTCAGGGGCTACAGCAGAAAAAAACTTTCTTCTAGTTCCTGCTACCCAACTCTCTTTGATAGATAGGATCTGCAGCACGCCCAATCTATTGGCTCTGATCAGACATTTCAAACAATGGTATGGTTTTTTTTTCTTGACCCGGCTTGCTTATAGAAAGATTCAGTTATCAAGCCACTACTTAGGAAAAATTAAAACCTAATTATACATTATGTAATCTTGCAGAAAGATTGCAGAAAGCAACATTAAAACCAGCTTCTAGAATATAAATAAATTCTTTGCAGAGAGATGAAGTTAGCAAAAGCATTTCAGAATCTGCTCCACATTTAAAATCTCCTCAAATTAGTGCAAAAGAATAAAAAATAGCACTTAGACTTATATACTGCTTCATAGTGCTTTTACAGCCCTCTCAAACCTGGTAGTATTGCACTTTGAGGCATGTCTTTTTTTAAATTGCTACTACTATTACTTCTATTACTTTCCTTATAACAATTGCAATAATAATGCATCTTGCTCAGCAATCTCAATATTAATATTTTATGTGTTTGTGTGTGCTATTATTGGATCCATGGAATAAGTACTACTACCCTCTTTCCCCCAAAATAAGACTTCCCCAGATAATAAGCCCAATCAGGCTTTTGAGTGCATGCGCTAATATAATCCCTCCCCCAAAACAAGCCCTCCCCTAAAATATTTAAACACATGTGCAGCCAGTCCCCGCCATTTCCTGGAAGGGAAGGGGAGAACATGCACCACACATCCCATATGCACCTGCCATCCATGCAGAACGGCCTTACAGATGCCACTCCTGCAAACCCTAGCTACCACGCCCCTTCTCTTAGTGGCGGCCACAAAAAGAGCAGCAGGCCCAGCAATGCTAGGCCTGGCAAGAGTGTGCCAGAAACAGAGACAGAACCTCTGGCCGTCTCTGGATCAGCTGATCTGCGGGACATGGTTAAGGAGTCTCCTGCACCTCAAAAATAATAAGACTTCTCCAAAAATAAGGCCAAGCACTTATTTCGAGGGTCAAAAGAAAATAAGACCCTGTCTTATTTTCAGAGAAACACGGTATAAGATCATTTCTCCTTGAATTTCAGTTTCTCATTAAAGAGAAAGATTGAGAAATGTAATAGAATAGTAATGAAAGGTGACTTCCTAATCATATGATACCTTTTCTCATCTAAAAGATCAGAAACTATCCATAATTGAAGGTGACTTCCTTGCAAAAATATGAAGATATAAAAAATAAGTTTGACAAGTTTATTTAATGATGTGATTCTACTGGAATGTTTCATTTTTAAAGGGATACTGGATTCAATGTATAAAGTACATCCTTATATTATGGAATTCAGAAATTACCTGATAATCCAATATGCTAAAGCCAAGACCTCTGCTGCCTTTCTCCAATTCAATTTGTTGTACTTCTGTCTCCCACATTGCCAGAGGAGAACCTTGTACCTCTTCAGTATTCTGACTTATGTTAGCTATTTCCAGCTTAGCATCGATTGTCTCTGAAGCACCAAGGAGTCCACCAAGGTCGATATGAGACTGTAAAGTTAAATAGGGTTACTTTTTAAAAAAAATTAAGCTAAAGGAAATTTAAACACAGGTTGTCAATGAAACTGGAATAAATGGGAACTGCTATTTAAAGAGTCTAAAACTTATCTATTTTTTAAATCAATTTTTAATTAAAGTTTTACAAAACACATACAAAACACAAACTAGTTTGGGGTTTTTAAGCAAGCCAGGTTCACATAATGACCATGATTCCCTTAATAACTGTGAGGGGAAAGGGAGGGGGGAGGGAGGGAGGAAGAAGGAAGAAGGAAGGAAGGAAAATATAAAAAGGAAAAAAGAGAAAAGCTTCCAATTTCCTTTGCAGCAAATATAAGCATATTTACAAAGTTCTTTTATTCTATGATTACAAATAAAAATCTTAGCTTTTTCTTTATCCAGTTTGTTCTAATCATCAAAAACATAAATTGTAAGTACATTTTTGTTTCATGCAAAAAATCTATAACAGATTTCCAATCAACTGTCAATGCAAAGGGTTTTTTTTCCCTTAAAGAGGTTAATTTAATAATCTCCACAAGTTCTACCATCTGAGAATGTAAACTTTATGTAGAGATGTCTAAATATATATGAAAAGTTTAAATGACTATGATACTTTAACGAAAGCTGTATGAAAAAAATCTAAAAAAAGGTTTTGAAGCTGGGTTTCCTCAATCCAAATCTAGCCATCTGATCAAATGGTCTCCACTTAAAAAAAAAATCTTTATCTTACAACTGTCAGATTCGGGTTAATGTCAGGGTTCCAAATAGCATCCTCAATGAAATAAGAGTCCAAGGCTAGGGACTCCCCAAAGTTCCAATTTATTAGAAGAGCCATGTTGGCACATCTGGAAGCTTTGAGACTCAGGTTTTCCACACACAGTTGAAAATTCAAGACCTTGTCCCCCATCCACATGTCCATCACATGGTCCAATCAGTCACTATCCCAAAGAAAGTTTCCTCCCAGTGACATCCCTCCAGGTGCAGGGGCAAGATGACCTTGACTCTCTGAGAAAGAATGTTATTTTGACTACAAAGCTCCCATGCTCCATACAATCTCCACTCCCCATTTCCTACAGTAGAACATGTGACTGGCTTGAGGCCCACTGTAAAAGATGGCTTCCAAGTCCAACAACTACCATATTTATTTATTTATATATAGCCACCAGTTTCACAAATAAGAGACTCTGGGTGGCCATTAAATATCTAAAATACGATGTGTTAGATTTCAATGTAATGTGATTTCACATGTATACTGTTCTTCTTTGATTTCTCTGTAAAAATAGGATAAGTTAAGTACAATGACATATAGTAGAAATACACCAAGGGGAGGAGGAGTGGGATAGAAGAAAGATGGGTAGAGAGGGACGGGAGAGAGGATGGGAAGGAGGGTGAGAAGGAAGGGAGGGAGTGGATCGGGAGAGAGGAGTGGTAGAGGGGGAGGGGAAGTAGGGTAGAGGGGGATGATGGAGGGAAGATAGAAAGTTGGAGGGGGTGGAAGAAAGAGGTTTATGGAGAGTGGAAGAGGTATATTGGGTCTCTTTTTGGGGGGGGTACTGTTGACAAGAGGAATTGCTGCAATTATTCTTTAATGTTGTATGGCCCCGGCTATGCACAGTATATATGTGAGTGTATGAAAATGAAAATGAAAAATAAAAACCTTTAAAAAAAATCTAAAATCATTCACAACCATCAAAGCATTAAAAACAAAACAGATAAAACAAAATTAAGAAATACTTAATAGTAATGGAGCCATTTCAGGAGTTCAAATCTTTTCTTTGCATTCTCTATGGGAAGGAAGAATGGTGGTCTGTCAGTTTCTCCACAAGGGTATAATTCTTTATGTTGAATTACCTGCTCTAACATATGAGTCTCATCCAATGCTGCTTCAGTAACAGGTAGAACTCCACGACAACACACCATCCTTACATTGATAGGAAGCTCTTTTAAAATATTTACAACGTCCTTGTGATTCTCTCCAAGCAAAGATTGTCCATTTACCTGCCAATGAAAATAAGGATATTTACAGAAATAAGGAAAAGACAGAAAGAAAGACATATATTTTCAGATTGGACATAGAAAACTAAAGTAGAGTGGTGCAGTGACCTAGAGGCGGAGCTCTTGCCTCACAATCAGGAGGCTGTGAGTTCGATCCTAGGTAGAGGCAGATATTTCTCTCTGGGAACAATGAGAATATATCTGCTGAACAAAACTCCACATGGGTGACAGGAAGGGCATCTGGCCAGTAAACACTCAGCTCCATTCAGTTGCCCAGACTCCACCCCGCAAGGGATTATGGGGTCATTAAATGAAGATGATGATGACATAGGAAACTAAAGAAGCATATTAAAAAAATAGGTACTACATGGCTTCTTCACATCACAGGTAGTCCTCTACTTACAACAGTTCATTTACTGACTGTTCAAAATTACCTCACAGTTTTTTATGCTGATATGTTTTATACTTCAGCTAATTAAGTTATCTTGACTATAAATATGGGTGAATGCAAATGACATTTGCCAGAAAACTGAATGAAGCTACATTAAAGAGCAGATAGCACAAGGATTTCTAGGAAAAATTAAAGTGCTGCGCTACTGAAAAAATACAGTTCCTAGGATGAATGAATTATTTTCATTCTTAGAAGTCTACTTTTCCTTGTGCATGTGCTAGGTACCTGAATAGAAATCATTTAATTTAATAAGTTGTAATATCTAGGCCACACTTCCCATAACCTTCCTCATTTAAGACATATTTGAACTACAAATGCCAGAATTTCCCAAACAGTATAAACCCAATAGAGGCTGTTCTCAACTTACAACGGTTTGTTTAGTGACTGTTCAAAGTTACAACTACTGAAAAAGTGACTTATGATCGTTTTTCCACACTTATAATCACTGCAGCATCCCCACAGTCACATGATCAAAATCCAGATGCTTGGCAACTGATTTGTATTTATGATGGTTGCAATGTCCAGGGCTCATGTGATCACTGTTTGCAAACTTCTGACAAGTGGAATGGAGTATTTAAAAGGGAGTAATTATATAATCACTACCTTAGAATGTACTAGCATATTGTGAATTTATACAGGCTATATACAGGTAGTCCTCAACCTACCGCCACCATTGAGCCCAAAATTTATGTTGCTAATGACAAATTTGATGAGTGCGATTTGCCCCACTTTAGGACTTTTCTTGTCACATTTGTTAAGTGAATCACTGCAGTTCTTCAATCAGTAACCCCGTTGTTAAGTGAATCTAGTTTTCCTATTCATTTTGCTAGTCAGAAGGTTGCAAAAGAAGATCACGTGCATCCATCATAAATGTGAACCAGTTTTCAAGTGTCTGAATGTAAATCACGTGCCCATGGGGATACTGCAAAGGTCATAAGTGTGAAAAATGGTCATTTCACTTTTTTCAGTGCCGTTGTAAATTCGAACAGTCACCAAATGAAGCCAAGGACTACCTGTATTTCTTTCACAAATACATGAATATAGGTGGTCTTCATCCTACAATAATTTCTTTAGTGACCATCCGATGTTTGACTGGCACTGGAACAACTGTCTTATGACTGTTCCTTGCATTTACAACTGTTGCAGCATCCCCAAGATGTCATGATCAAAATTTGGGAGGTTGGCAATCGGGAATGTAATTATTACATTCCTGCATATATCCTAGGGCCATATGATTGCCCTTTGCAACCTTCTCAGCTGGCTTCCATCAAATAGAGTCAATGGAGGAAGCCAGATTCACTTAACAACCACGTGATTCACTTAACAATTGTATTGGTTGTATTGGTTCAACTTAACAGCCACACCAACATTGGCCACAACTCACTAACCGTCTTGCTTATCAATGAAAATTCTGCTCCCAATTATTGTTGTAAGTCAAGGACTACCTTTACTCCAGTGTTTTTCAACCTTTTTTGTGCAAAGGCACACTTTTTTCATGAAAAAAATCACGAGGCACACCACCATTAGAAAATGTTAACAAAATTTAACTCTGTGCCTATATTGACTATATATAAAGTAATTTTCCCACGGCACACCTTACACTATGTCACGGCACACTAGTGTGCCGCGGCACAGTGGTTGAAAAACACTGCTTTACTCTATGCCAGTGACGGCTAACCTTTTCAACCCCAAGTGCCGAAACGAGCGTGCGTGTGTGCTGGAGCACCACAACCCAGAAGAGAGCAGCTGGCCGGTGCGCATATGCACAGTTGCCAGCTGCTCTTCCGGGTTCCATCATGCACATGCATGCCAGATAGCTGGTCTTCTGTCCGGCATGCGCATGCCGGAACCCAGAAGAGAGCAGCTGGCTAGAACGCATGCATGCAATGGAACCCTGAAGAGCAACAGAGAGGGTTCCTCATGCCATCTTTTGCACAGGTGCCATAGGTCTGCCATCACAGCTCTGTGCTAAGAAAATATTAAAAGTGGAAAAAAAATCCCTCAGCATATCTTTTAAGAGAGCAGAAGAATAAGAAAGATCAATTCATACTTCTAGTAATTCATCTCCACTGTACAATCTGCCACATCGTCCAACAGGCCCTTCAGGCAAAACAGACCGAATAAAATGATGTCCCACTGTAGCTTCTAAGCTAATCCCCAGTCCGCTGCTTTCACTAAACTTGTTCACATCCGCCACCTAGAAAGAAGAAAAATACAATCTTCATAACACCAAGAAATCAGTTGCTTAGAAAATTGCAACGAGATCCTATACAAAGGACCAGTAAATTTAAACACTGTTTTGCTACAAATGCTCTACTTCTTAAGCTACAGGCTCATTTCTTTCAAAAGAAAACATCCATGTTCATTGATTTCTCACATCAAAACAAGATGGAATCACAATGTGAGCTGAAAAGGAGCATCCAGCTGTAACATCCTTTTTCTCATTTGCAAAGGGTAACAGATGCTGGTAGCTACAGCTGTCCAGAGATGAAAGGTAGTCAGAGAGTCACAAATAAAAGGAACAAATAAAACTATCAAAGGTTCCACACTTCTCATTACACCATCTTTTGTGACCGCCATGGAACAATAGTTAGCAAATACAGTATTCGGGAACAGAAATGTTTCCAGTTTGAAGAAAAAGAACTGGATTCCATATATCTGGCAATCCTTGTTGTCTCTGAAACAAGTCAAGCGTTAACAGGACATGCACCTGGTAACATAATTCTTTATGGTTTACTAATCCCCAGGTGGGGAACAGTCAAAGAACAGGAACTGCACCTATGACCCTGCTGCAGAATTCTATTCAAAAGTTCCACATCCTTGTTACATCCTTGGACTACTGCACACAAAAGTAGTTGCTTATACGTTCTAAAATGTGCTTAAAAGAAGACTGGCTAGATTCTCAATGAGCAGTAAAGTGTCAGCTAGGAAAACAGCTTTTATTACATAAAAACTAAACACATTTTAAAGCTTGTAGGCCAAAGGGCTACCAAGATTCCTCACGTAAACCTTACTTTAAAAGAATAAAAGAGTCAATTAACAATCAATTTAAAAACAAATAATGGAAATAGAGGATCAGCAATCATTATCATAAATCATAGGAGGGAAGAAAAACAAAAAGGAAAAAATGCAAACAATCTGTTAAAATGTCAGGGAAGTGGGGCAAACCAGCTTCCTTTAAAAAAATCTCTGTAAGCCATACAAACAGACCATCCAGCAATGAAGTAGGGGTCAACAGCAGCAGTACAAGGAAAATATCAGCCCTAATTGTTAGATTTTGTATTACTTACCTAAAAGCAGGCCAACATTAAAATTAGTGGCATTTATTTCTGGTAGATGAATGTCAGATTAAAGGAGGGAAGTCTTTTATTCCAAATATCAGCTATGTGCAAGAACTCTTATGAAGCAAGGATTATGCTAAATGTTGTATGTTGGAAGTGGGTAGATTTCCTAACAAGCTACATTGTTGTTTTGCTTCCCAAATGTAGATTTCAGAACTCAACTGTAGCTCTGCCCACATTGAGAGAGGTCATCAAGCAAAAATGCTACCCCAAGAAATGAAACCATGCACTGTTGACAACAAGGAGAATCAAAATATATAATGGACTCCAAAAGTTACTAAATAAACACTGCCAATACTTATCGACTGAATTAATGAAAACTTCCCAGGAAGCAATATTTAGAAACTGTTTGATCAAATGTAGGATTCATTTTCTGACTGCCTAAGATTACTTAAAAGTTTTGTTTTACCACATTTTTAGATTTTAAAAAACAATGCCCTTCCCAAGGAAGAGCAGAGATAAAGTGTTTATTTTTTTAATAGCAAGCAATGAGTCGACCTACCACAACTTCATAATTTTCCCCCAAAATCTTCTGCCATTTGTTCAGCAATGTTTCTTCTTCTAGGGATGTTAGCTGAATATCTGCAAGATGTGACAGTTATCCTAAGTAAAACTATAAAATTCTTACCTCTAGGTAGAAAATGAATTGCATTAGAATTTGTAAACATGCATCTGATTTATATAAAATGAAAAAGAAAATACTTTTCGATACTAAGTATCTAAAAAAGGAAAAGTGGAGGGGGGAGAATTATAACCTAAATTTTGGGTTTTTAAAAATCCTTTTAAAGCTAGCTGAATTCACTTGGATTAAGTGAAAAAAATAACAGCTCATTTTTAAATTCCTTTTTCTAATCAATTTTGTACCATATATACCTTAATAAATTTTTAGCGTCATCCAGTTCTATTTGAAATTAAATCAGCATGAGACTCAATCTTTCAGTACTACCCTGGCTATTCAATTTCGGCTTGCATCACTCAAGAACTTCCTTTTATCTCTCTTCCATGGAATCCCAATTGTCCTAATCTAGCTTCCTGAATAACTGGATTTCTGTCTGGCTACACTCTGCTGCACCTTCTCCTTTCTGTGAATGCAGAAATTACAGGCATGTTCTTCTTTCCTGGCCCAACGGAACTCTAAAATGCTCATTCTTGTTATTCATTATTATCTTACATCCCTGCACTCTACAAATGTTAGCAAAACAAGTTTGCGTGATTGAAACATTAACAAATAAAAATAAGAACTAAAATTCAAAAGATAAAGCAGAAAGCTAAGCTTATGGGTGATTTGTTTTCCATTTCTGAAGAATAATTATAGATCTTTGTTTTTATTTGTAAAACTATGGCTATCATTTCATAGTTCTCTTCAACAGGAGTGCACTAGTAAATAATATTATGTATTTATTAATTAAATATTATTATTAAATAATATTATGTATTTATTAAAATCAGTTCCCAAAATCGTTCAGTATACAATATTCCTTTCCTATTTATTCAGAGGTAAGTTAAAGTTGAAAGAAACTTATTCTCAGGTGGGAATATTTAGCATTGTAGTGTTTTTGATATTATTCTGTTTATATCATGAGTTACATATACAAATAAATATATTATTTAATATTTAAGCACTCAAAAAATGTTCTCTATATTTAAGATATATTTTTTTTGAAACTATGACCTCTTTTTCTAAGGCTCCTACTGAAACATGGTCTCTAGGGGGCAGTGGAAGAACACACTTCCTGGAATTATTTAACAGATTTTTGTATTTATTTAAAAATGTGAGAAAGAAACAAATTGTGAGTGTAATAATTTACCATTTTAAATCTGATCTAGTTTATCTCTTACTATGATAACTGGAGCTTGTCAGATATGTACAGTGACCCACCAAGCACTTACGATATCCTCAAATATTCACACGCTTAAAAATACGAAGTAGGTGGAAACATGAGACTTACAGAATCTGAATATCTCTTTAGCATGGCTTGATGAGCTACAATCAGCTATGTATATCACAAACTACTTGCTTATTTAAAAGTAAGACATAAACAAATGTGATCAACCACAGATATAAGAATTCTATGTATACATAGCTAACTTCAGCTATGCATTCTGCTTTATGCTACACTACATTTCCTAGTATATAAAAACTGCTGTTCACCCAGTATTATTGTTAAGGTTTTTCATTGTAAATAAACAATCATGAAATATCTTCAGCAGTATGTTTTGACATCTAATGATAATTATTTTTAATATCCTCATTAATAAGTACTCTTTTCAGCTGCTGCCACTGAGTATTTTAAGCTTAAAATTAAGCTTCATAATTTTAACAGTTGATATGGTATACGAAACTGGCTGCATACAAGAAATCAACTTTGTGTATATTGTTCACAGAGTTTTAGCTAGACAAACTCAAATAACTATTTTATAGCCTTTTATGTGAATCTTTTAACTTCTAAATACTTCATCCACAGATTTCGATAAGATACCCGTGGATAAGATACTTAGAAGTTAACAGATTCAAAGTAAAGGCTATAAAAATAATTATTTGAGTTTACTAGGTAAAATTCTGTGGACAATGTATATAAATGCAACTAAACAGAGCTGCATCACTATATTCTTCAAAGATGGATTTGTCTATGACATCTCAAATATGCACTTTCGGAACCCAAAAGGAACTTTTGCCATGCTACCATGCCAAGCAAACAAAGGCAAAAACTAGGGAAGGCAAGCATATTTATAAGGGGAAAAAATTATTTATAACCTGTTTGTTGTATATTAGTATCTTCTTCAAAATGAACCTCGCTGGGGCTGCATGACATTAATGGAGAATCCTGCTCTCTTTTGCAGCTTTCTGTGGAGGAAAAAAAATGCCAATTTCTGTGATAATACAGTTAAACCCTTTCCTGTTTCACTGTTGTTAAGGACTCCTAGTTTCCTACCAGATTAAATTAAGCCTGGTCTAACAGTTAAGGCTCCATGCTAGAAAGCAGAGACTGTAAGAATTCAACTCCTACCTTAGTCATGAAAGCCAGTGGGGTGACTCTGGGCCAACCTACCTCACAACCTGATTATTATTGGGGGGGAAATAGGAGGAAGAAGATGTGCTGGGTAAGTTTTCCACCTTAGGTTATTTGTATCAATAATAAAGGTGGGATATTA